TTGAGACAGAGTCTCACATTATTGCCCAGGCTGGAGTGCAGTGGCGCAATCTCGGCTCACTGCAACTTCCACCTCCCGGGTTCGAGTAATTCTCCCACCTCAGCCTCCCCAGTAGCTGGGACTACAGGCACCTGCCACCATACCCAGCTAATTTTTGTACTTTTAGTAGAGACGGGATTTCACTATGTTGGCCAGGCTGGTCTCGAACTCCCAACCTCAAATGATCAGCCCGCCTTGGTCTCTCAAAGTGCTGGGATTATAGGCGTGAGCCACGGAACTCAGCCTGGGGGAGGCATTTTTTGTAAGGGATGGGTTCTCACCATGTTGCCCAGGCTGGTCTCAAGTCATTCTCAGATGGTTACCATGCAGGGGAGGAAGGACTGTGGTCACAGCTCCCTCCCCCAAGCCCTGGGGCACAGCAAGGCAGTGGCAGGCAGAATCCTAAATGCCCCCCTCATTTCCCACCTCAGTCCCAGCACAGCGTCATGACCTTATGTGGCAGAAGGGATTCTGTGGATGTGATTAAGGTTATTAATCAGCTGACTTGGAGTCTATCAAAGGGGAGGCTAATCTAATCCAAAGGTGGCTGAACCGAATCACAGGGGCCTTTAGAAGCAGAGCGGGCTCCCCAGCTGGTGGGAGAGGAGCAAGTTGAGAGACTCAAGGTGCAGGAAGGACTGACGCAGGGAGCCCCCACTGCTGAGGCAAAGAGGCCACAGGGCGAGGACCTGGGGTGGTCTCTAGGAGCTGAGAGTGGTCCCCGACCAACAACCAGAAAGAAAACAGAACCTCAATCCCACAACTGCCACCTGCTGAGTGAGCAGGGAAGCCTGTTTCTCCACCGAGCCTCTGCTGAGGGCCCAGCGTTGCTGACACGTTGATTCCGGCCCTGTGAGACCCTGAGCAGAGAACCCAGGTGAGCCACGCCATGCCTGGACTTCTGCTTTACAGAACTGAGACAATCCGTGGGTGTTGTCAGGCCAGTGGCTCACACCTATAATCCTAGCACTTTGGGAGGCCACAGCAGGCAGACTGCTCGAGCCCAGGAGTTGCAGACCAGCCTGGGCAACATGGGGAAACCCCGTCTCTACAAAAAACATTAGCCAGGTGTGGTGGTGCGCACCTGTAGTCCCAGCTACCTGGGAGGCTGAGGCAGGAGGTTCGCTTAATTAAGCCCAGAGGTCGAGGCTGCAGTGAACTGTGTTTACGCCATGGTACTCCAGCCTGGGCAACAGAGCGAGATCCTGACTCAAAAAAAAAAAAAGAAAAAAAGAGTTGATATTGTCTTAAAATGCTGTTTGTGGTGATTTGTTCTGCAGCAAAAGCAAACAACCTCAGGGGCCTCAGGACATTTGGATGTCTCACTGAACCCCAGCGGGAAACGATTGGCATCTGGCGGAGCCCACCATCCGGCTGAGGCCACGCGGGCTCCCGCACTGGCCTCCGGCCTCCTCTAGAGGTCTGGGTTACAGGCCGCCCTGCCCACCCTGCCCCACCCCACCGCCAGTCCCCACGTACAGAACTCCTCCAGGCTGACTTCCTCCACCGCGTGGATGCCAGTGAGGTGGGCGACACGGCCCTGGACGCGAGTCCGCTTGTCCCCGGTGGTCTTCTCCACACGCTCGATCATCTGCTGCTGGCGGTCGATCCAGTAGAGGTGCTTGCCAAGGACGGTCAGGCCCAGAGGCTGCACGATGTTGGCGTCCTCCAGGGTCAGGCGGTTGGCCCCTGCAAGCAGCACAGGGCCCCCCTGAGCGGTGCTGACCTCCAGATCTCGCGCCACACTCAGCTTGGGAGGACAGAGGTTGACAGGGCTGCCAGGCAGCCGGGGGGGATTTCGTGCTCTGGGCAGGGATGGGAGCTGCAGCAGAGTCCCTGGAAGCAGGCCAACCCAAGCCAAGCCCTCGGAAAGCCCTGCTCCCACCTGGGCCGGGTTCCGAAGGAAGGCCATCAGTTCCAACGGCGGGCCTCGGTCACTGGCCCCTGCAAGCATGGCCCCTCCCCTCCCCCACCCACCCCATCATAAGAGGAAAAGCCACGGGGACCTGCGCCCCCTCTCTAAGCACCAACTCTCATTTCTCTCCAGTCCTCACGGCCTAACACAGCCCAGAGCAGAGCAGCTGCTTGTGCAGGTGCCAGGGGCAGAGGCTAGGCTGAAGTCCTGCTCCATCCCCAGCTGTGGGGCCCCAAGCAGCTGGCTCACCCTCTCTGAGCTTCATCTTCTGCCTCTACCCAGTGGGGCTCACTCGGAACCCCAGCCTGGAGTTGTCAGCGTGAGGACTAAACATGCTACATGCAAAGTTCCCGGTGCGGAGCTGGGCTCACGGCAGGTCCCGGACAATCTGGCAGCTGCTGCCATTACTGACGACAAGGCAGGCAGGGTGTCTGCGGCAGGGCAGGCACCGGGGCGCATACCTGACAGGTCGCAGCTCTCAATGCGCTTCAGGTCCGCGTCCACCCAAAACAGCTTGCCTAGTGTATTGTCCACCACCAGGGCCACGGGGCGGATGAGGCCGGTGGTGAAGAGGACCTCGCGCTCAGTGCCGTCCAGGGCTGCACGTTCAATCTTGGCTGCCCGGTCCTGCATGTTGGTGAAGTACAGGTACCTGCGGGAGGGTGCCAGGTGAAGGATGGGTGCAGGGACGGCGTCTCCTCGGCCAGCGCGGAGCTCAGGGCACCCAGCTGGGCTGTGGAAAGGCCCTGCCTCTCAGGGCTGCCCGAGGCTGACAGGTCATATTCTGTACTAGTTGAACAGTGCTCCCCAAATTCACGTCCACCTCAGAACCTCGGAATGTGAGCTTATTTGGAAACAGGGTCTTCACAAATGTCACGAAGGATCAAGATACGACCACAATGGGTGAGGGTGGGCCCTAAAGCCAAATGAAGTGTCCTTAAGTGACACAGAAGAGGGCATGCAATGTGCCGTCAGAGAGACTGGAGTGACATGACCACAAGTCAAGGGATGCCTGGAGCCACCAGAAACCCAAAGGTTCCCTCAGAGCCTTCAGAGGGCGCAGGGCCCTGCCACACCTAGATCTCAGGCTTCTGGCCTCAGGAACTGTGAGAGAACAAGCGTCCATTACTCTCAGCCACTTAGCTTCTGGTAATTTCTGACAGCAGCCATGGGAGACAGATGCAGGCCCTCACAGCTGCTAAGGACCCTGGAGCCCTGGCCATTGGGAGACCAGCTCAGCTGGCTCCTGCACAGCCACCTTACAGACCTGGGGCTCCCACCCACTGACCCCACCGTGTGCTGCAGAGGCTGCACCACCGTGGCCGCCACTCCTACCAATGAGGAAACCGAGTCTCCAAGAGGTTATGCCACTCGCCTGAGGTCACGTGGGCAGTAAGTGGCAGAGTCAGGGCTCAAACGCTGGGCTCCTGGCCCAGGACCTGCGCTGGCTGTAGCTCCTGTCTTCATGCCAGCCCCCCAGCTATCAGAAGAAGGCCATCGCGCTCCTGTCCACAAACATTGCCATGCTCAGTTTGGAGCCTGAGTTTCATGTCACGTGGGTTTCGGTCTCCCTCTTTCCCTGGCTATTCCCTCTGGAGACCTTCAGGTCCTGGGTGCCTTCCCACCAACAAGAAGCTCTGACGATCAACAGGTGGGAGCATCGGGGGCCTCCGGGAGGAAGAAGCCCAGGAGCTCCCTGCAGTGGAACAGGAGCGAGTCAACGGGCAGCCCCCATGCCATGAAAGGGATTTCTGCACAGGGTTCAAGTTTAACAGGGATGGTACAAAACCTACCAACTGCAACTCCTGTTGGCCAGCGCTGCCCTGTGACCTCTCAGCAGCGCTACCCCTTCCCTTTTAGCCCTCAGGGCTTTCTGCTTCCCTGGAGTGCCCGTGAAAGAGCCTGTGTTTGCTTTTGGGATCCCAGAAAGCCAACCATTGGATCACCGGGGTGGAAAATCACCCCAGCCTGTGAGAGGCTGGCATTCGGCGGAAGACACGGCGGGCATGCCTGGGGGACAGCACCCCCACCCACCCATTGGCCTCCTACCCTCGCTCCGCATTGACGACGATGGCCCTGGGCTTGTCGCGGTCCCCACGCAGCACCACCCCCATGGCTTCCCCGCTCAGCCTGTGGACGTTGATGGTATTGGTGGCCTCGCACGTCCAGAACAGCGTCCGGCTGTAGATGTCGATGCTGAGGTCGTGGGGCTGCCTGTCTGGGTTTTGGCCTTGGCTCAGAGAGGTCAAAACAAAGGGCTGTAAGACAAAGAAACCAAGACTCCTGAGCACTGGCTGGAGACCCCCCGAGCGCTGGCTGGAGACCCCCGGGCACTGGTGGAGACCCCCGGGCACTGGCTGGAGACCCCCGGGCACTGGCTGGAGACCCCCGGGCACTGACTGGAGAC